GAGCGGCTGGAGAGCCTGCAGGTGAGGGGCAGGGGGGCAGGGGCAGGAGGGTGGGTGGTCGAGAGGGCAGGTGGGCAGGGGGGCAGGAGGGTGGGTGGTCAAGAGGGCAGGGGGGCAGGGGGGCAGGAGGGCGGTCAGTTGTGCAGACGCAGTCAGGCCCTCCAGCTCTCAGGACGTCTGGTGCTCTTGGGACAGATGTCATTACAGCAGGGGGCAGTGAACTGATCACAGTCGATTAGGCTGATCCACTCTGACAGCTCCTTAAGTAGGGCGTGATCTAGTGCTGGGTAATCTGGATAGACTTAGAGGAGCTGAGGACAAGAGGAAGGAGAGAGACCTATTATACTGAACTGGGACTGTAGCTCCTACTGTAACACACTGTTCTACTGTACTGGGACTGTAGCTCCTATTGTAACAGGACTGTTCTACTGTATTGGGACTGTGGCTCCTATTGAGAGAAGACTGTTTCTTCTCTAGGATTTGGCCTTAACAAGCCATGTTCTGAAGAAGTTAGTCTGAATTACCTGCCAGAGGAGGGTGAACTGGCCCAGCCAGGCCCCTCAGTGTCTCAGCTCTGAGCAGAGTGTTGTTCAGCTCAGTGACTTGATGACTCTCCCAAGTGAGGCGGTTCTGTAAACAGCCCTCTTTCTCCAGCAGTCCAGGAACATCTCCAGCTCATATTCCTCCTCACTCCGAGACCTCCTGCAGAGGAAGATCAGCGCTCTGGAGCAGCAGATGCACCACCAGTCTCTTTCCCATGGCAACGCAGGGGAGCACGAGAGTGATGACCATGATCGCCATGGCAACCACAGTGATGACCACCACCACAACGATGATGATGACCACCACCACTATGATGACCATCACCATGACGATGACGACCACCATGATGATGATGATCACCACCATGAGGACGATGACCACCACCACGATGACAATGACCACCACCACGACCACTATGATGACCACCACCATGACAATGACCACCATCACAACGATGATCACCATGACATCAGCAACGAAGCAGATAGCTACGCCCACCCCCGACTGGCCTATCACCAGGGTCAGAGACCTGCTGCCCATGGGCTGCACTCGAACAAACTGGACGCTGTGCTGAGCCACCTGCACCACCGCAGCTCAGACCACGGTAACAGACCTGTTCTGCAGTGTGCTGGGCTCGACTAGACAGGTCTGAACTGTTCTGCAGTGCACTGGGCTCTGCTAGACTAGTCTGAACTGTTCTGCAGTGTGCTGGGCTCGACTAGACTGGTCTGAACTGTTCT